GGTTTTTGTTAAATGTGAGCCAAAATCATCACAATTAAAAGAACCAAAGACTTAAACTACTTCAGTCTGTGTGCATTGAATTTATTTAATACACGAGTTTCACAATTTGAGTTGAATTACTGAAATAAATTAACTTTTCCACGACATTTATTGAGATGCACCTGTATGCATTGACCTGTAGGCTATGGATTCAAAATAAATTGAATTGCCATATGTCTCCAATCCGAGAGTCTATTCTGCCTTTAAGTGATCAGAAACAATATTCCTTTTTTGCCTTGTTGAATTTACAGACGACTTCCTTTCAGACATAATACGGTAAGCAGCATCAAACAGCCTTACGCTTCATGTGATGCTATGATGCAAAGAGCAACACTGTTTATCCTTATCTGGTACATGTCGGTTACATAATCCCTACCGTCTGTGTTGTCCCAGAAAGCACAGAGGCCGAGCGCGACCATTGACTGATCTCCATTCACAGGATTACCCATCAGGCACTTCACATGGGCACTGCGTTGCGCTCGATACGCACCAAACCAAAATAGCGCAAAAAAAATGGTCTTTAAAATGACAATAATATCGCTTATCGCAATTATTTCTGGGGCAATATATCGCACAACAAAAAGTTGTTATCGTGACAGGCCTAGCAGGGAGACGGTGCTGATGCCGTTAGCATGCTGCAGGGAAAACGCTGATGCGAATAACCTGGATTAACATCGACGCGGTTCCCTCCCTTCCGCTCTCCTCCGTCGCCTCTCAAGCATGAGGGAAGCGATTTCCAAGAGAGACCATAATCACAATAAAGCTTAATTAAGGCTCCATTGGTTCCTTTTAATCCAAAAATCACAGGCTTTTCTGAGGGGATAGGGCAGCCTCTTCTCGATTGAGCTCATGCGGTTACTTCTGGGCCATTAGATCTCATCCTGACTGATAGAGCCTGAGGGAAGAGCTGGCTATTTCCGTCTCACTGTCCCTGCTGTCTTACATCAGCACTGGCACTAGACTGACCTCAGTCCTGGGGCATATGGAAGCACATCCTTTTTGCTCATTTAGTGGATGCTGGGTCTGTGAGATTGTTTCTCTCATACGTAGCCTGAAGTGGCATATTTGTATGATTGCGCTTTGCATGCAGAACCTGATCCTTCTGCTGGTCTTAAAGGAGAAGTTTGAAAACGAATATTTGGTCATGCAATCTTAAAACTAGAGGTTCCCGAAAAGGGGTTTTCGCAATTATGCCATAAAAAATGTTTGGTTCCCCAAAGAACCTTTCAGTGAACAGTTCTTAAAAGAACCATTTACAAATCTAAAGTACATGTTAAAAATCTAAAGAAACTTTTGTGCAGTGGAAAGTTTCCATGGAAGTTTTTAATGGAACCGTCAATGCCAATAAAGAACCTTTATTTTTAAGAGTGTTGAAAATTTGGTCATTGGTCATCCGTGAATCACAAAATGAGATTTTAGAGCAGCTTGGTCATCACATATTGTTGGAAAAGACATTCTGCCTAACATTCTTATTTTGTGTTTCACAGAAGAAAGAAAATCGAGTCTGAAAAACATTAGGGTGTGTAAATCATTTTTGGCTGAGTTATTCCATTAAAGATGCTCTTCTTATTAAACAATGTAAGGTTCGTATTTGGTCTTATGTTTAAATATGACATTTGCTCCACCCATGCAGAGAAATATAAATGTGTCTCTCACTGTCACACTTTGGCTTATTTAAAACATCTGTCCTATTATGAAATCATGTGTTAGGTCATGCCTGGTTTTCGGCTGGTATTTTGAGCATGCCAGATGAAAATAAGTATCTCCTGTCCCTAACACATTGCCAGAAAAGGCTTTAGGGGCTGATGAGTCAGAGAGATGCCTTCTTTAAATACCCTTTTCCTTTGCTATACAAGTATCTTGCATGGACCACTAGAATTTTATATTGCAAAGTATATAAACACCAACTTGTAACTTAGTTTTTCCTGATCAAAATCAACATTGAAACCAAAATGGACTCTGTTTACTTTCTTAATGCATGTTCCTGGTCTTATTGTGCATGATACATGCACATTATGCTTTTATAATCTTTAACAAAAATGTAATACTTTGTCAGACCCTCTTAATTTTACCCACTTTTCATATTCCAATCAATTCCCAATTGATAAAATGTGTAGATAGATAGATAGATAGATAGATAGATAGATAGATAGATAGATGCACAAGATCGGTCCTATATCTTTTCATCAGAAAACTGATGTAAAACGGGTTTCTATGTTGATTTTTAAAGAGTTTTTTAAAAGCAGCAGGATTGTTTTTAATCTTTGATCTGGAGTCACAAACATGCAGACATCTTTGAGACATTAGCAAAGGGGAGCCCATTTCTTTGCATGTGCAGCATTAAAAACCAACCAACTCATTTTTTATACTTTGAAATGGTTACTTCAGTGGGCGAACTTTATACTATGACAGCTGGACGTTTTCACTGTGGGATGCTGCATTCCTGGATGCACCGTTGCATCACTTCTATTCCCATTATCCTTTAGCAGCGATCAAAATGGCAGAACCTGGTGCTAAAATGCTCTTGAAGCTTGTTTAAATAATTCAGCCTGAGGTTTTATCAAGCACAGCCTCTTGATTTACTGTGTCTTCAAAGCTCAGAGCAGTTGGCGTTGAAATTGAAAATGGGAAAACCTCTGAAAATGGAGCACCAGGACCATTTAATCACACCACAATCTGTCATTCACACATCTACATCTGCATGTCAGTTTCATAATATATATATATAATATATATATATATATATATATAATTTACTTATTAGTATTTATAATCATCATATTTGTTATGTATGCTGCAATATGCTGTATGCTATGCACTAATTAAGTATTAAAATGATTTATTTTGACCATTTACCAGTTAATATTTTTACCATCTCTCCACCCCATTTCCCCATTTTTCATTTTAAAGTTCATTCAATTCATAATGTTTCCCTGTTTTTTTTGACGCATGTAAATCTTCATTGTTCCGAATGTTGTGTTTTCTCTTTAGGGTCGTATCTGCAGGAAAGCAGGCAAGTCTAAGAAGACCTTTAGTCGCAAGGAAGCCGAGGCGACCTTCAAGAGCCTTGTCAAGACCCACGAGAAGTACGGTTGGGTGTCCCCTCCCGTGTCCGACGGCTGATGTCAGCATCTTCAACCGCGATCCCGACATGGCTTTTTTCAGTTGGGTTTTCTTCTTTTTCATCATCAAACTTAACTACGAAAAAAACAAGCTAGCGCATCATATCTTACACATAAACGTGGCACATTCACCTTCACTCCGTCCTTCACTCTTCTTCATCGAGGTGCCATGGACCGAACACTCGCTGCGACATCACAATTACTCATAAGTGGGCGTCACTGCGGCTACATACAGCTATGGACTCTGGATACGATTGAGGCTCCAAGCAAAATTAAATGTGCATCATCTCCACTCTATATCCTTGTCTATCTGTCTGTTGCCTCAGTTTTTTCCTCCATCCATCCCTCTTTCCTTTTATAGCTGACAATGCATTGCACTGAACAGCATCAGACTTGCCCCCATTTACATGCAAATGACTTAATAGATAAGCAGATCATTACACTACATTTGAGGTTCAGTTTCTCTGGTTTCCTCCTCATTGGCTGTGCTGTTTTTCACGGTTGGATGCAACATGATGACTGTAATTTATGTAGAGCTGTGCTCTTTCTATTCCTCCATTCGCGTGGCAAAATGTAGACATCACTGTGTTGCGTAGATGATTTCCAATGGAGAAAAAATACTCTAGGGCTTTGTTCAGACAGGCAGCGAATATCTGATTCTTTTTTTTGGCAACATCCGACTCAAATTCAATTGTTTCTTGAAGTCTGAACAGACAAAAAAACACATTGTGTTCATGTCCATATGCGGTTTGGAATCCAAAATATTAAGATCTGAATCAATCGTTTTAGCTAATTTTTCCTCAACTGTTTGATTCTCACTGTGTCGGATAGTGGACAAGTGCACGAGTCAGCATGAATGCACAAAGATGCCTCTTGTGAGTCCAGCACCGCCACGAGATGCCATGACAGACAGTGAGCAGAGGCAAAATTCCCAGTTTTCCGTCCTCTCTTCCCACACTGACAGCTATAGGAGAAAGTCTGGCATCGGATATCGACTACACAGTCTGAACAAACACACCAGCACTTACAAAACGGATTGATATGCAGTGTGAACAAAGCCTTCATTGCTTATGCAGAGGTCTAAGATAAAAAAAAATGTGAACCACCTCTGTTGGTCATTCTATTATTTGTTTTTGGAGAAGACCAAAAGCTCATAATTCTGATGATTTAGATACCAGATGGCATTAACGAATGTCAACATCCCAATGGGATCTTAGTATTGGCGATAGAGAGGCATGTGACAGACATGGTGATGTTTGCACACGAAATGTTGAGCGTTTGTCCCCATGGAGCACTGAGCGACGGGACAACGCCGATTGCGCAGACCTGAACCCTTGTTAGCACCGACGTAAGGATAGTACCTTAACTTGGCACCTTCACATGCCGACGCCCCAAACACAATCAAACATTAATTGTGCTGATTCACTTGTACCATTTTGGCTCATAAATCGATACGCTCGTGGTTGTGGGCCTGATTCCTCCACCTTGCACTGACTCTGCATCATTGTGCTGTGTACTTGATCAATACTAGACTAGAACAACAGGACAAAATGGCCAACGGCCCAGGAAATAAGATCTCAAGACTGTAAACGTTGCTCTCGAATTGCATAAATCGAAGGTCAAGCTCTGTTACGGACTCTGGTAGCTGGTGCCGCCACTGTTGACGAGAGCCAGATGAAGAAGTACAGAGGTGGGGAGAGAGAAAGAGACGCTGAGGGGTCGACTCCTTTGTTCTGAAACCTTGAGGAATGAGGGCGTCTCGTTTAGTTGCCTGATTGATGCTCCGAGAGAGCCGCAGCTCGATGCCTTGATGTTTATTGACTTCTCCTTCAAATGTCAGTGTGAATCCAGAATGCCTCAGACTGCATCTTGTGAGCGATGAGATGTAGAAGAGCTGTTTATTTTAGATAGCGCTCTCCACACAGTGTGTGAAATACAAATGACATGATAGCCGAAAAGGCGAAATCATGGGTTTTGTTGACACATTGGGCGTTTTAAAGGAATAATCAAAATTCTGTCATTTTCTTACATGTATGGCGCTATATCTTTGGTGAAACACAAATAGAAAACGCTGAGGTGTGTTCTAGATGCTGTTTTCCATAATATTGTTGATCTTAAAAATAGTCTTTCGAAGACATACAACAAGGAAAGACCAAAAATTAAGAAAAGAAGTAAAAAAAGATTTAATTAAGTGGATTCAAATAGGGTGCATTTAAACTCCACGAGTCATATTTGATGTCTGTGGCATTTTGATGTCCTTGACATGATCAAACCTTGTTGATTTTGAAGTATGACTATGGGGAAATGTAAATAAGAGCTACGGTGAAGGGGAAGATAATACAAGATCCCACCTTTTTATGGGATTTTGTTGGCCGCTCGATGTTATCATCAGAAGTGTAAAATATTGTGCATGTGACACTTGATCAACATTATGATACTTTTATGGTGCATTTTTTGTCATTTTGGAGCTGGACAGAATCAGTCTCTATCAGCTTTGATTATATGGAAAAGAGCAGCAATTACATTCTTCAGAATACCTCCTTTTTTGTTTTATAGAAAAATGTCAGTCATACATGTTTGGGTGCAAAAACTATGACAGAGTTTTCATTTCTGAGTGAATTATTCCCTAAAAATGATGCTTCAAGGTGGGAAAAGTCCGATTTCCTTGTTGTGAGATGCCGTTTCATATGATATTTTGAGGATATTCTTCTCCAGACATGGAAACAGCATGTGCCAAAAGCTTCATGTACATTGTCACCATTTCCTTGTGTGTAACTGCTGCGCTCTCAGTAGAAAGACTCTCTGCTATCACTGACGATTTTAAATGTCACATGAGAAGCTGCTAATTAATGACATTTGAACAAAAAAAAAAAAATGATGAAGACACTGATGTATAAATGATAAAACCAGAAATGTTGATGCCCTGAAGGCGGATGGAGGGGAAACAACACTGTTAACCCCTTATTGATATTTATTTCTGTCTAGTAGCTTTTTGTGTTATTGATATTAAGGTTATCCAATACAATGAATGGTGAGTGTGCAGTGCTTCAAAAGGCAATCCAGTGGCAAGCACTACATTTTGCTGTATACAGTGATCATTTTATCATGGTCATCAAAATGAAATACACGTTGATCACTGGAGAACCTGTAATTCATGTTCGTATCACTGCAGCCATTGTAAAATTATTGCAGATTTGTGTGTCTGGTCGGAGATGGTTTCTCTTATCACGACTGAAGTGCATTTGGTCTTCTCCAGACTGTTTGGACATTATTAAAAAGTGGTCGTGTGTTTTCCTATTTAGCGAGAGGAGATACTATACCAAGGACTTATTATTATAACCAGTCAAAAATATCGCGAAATTGGATGTTTTCCGATTTAAAGCAAAATTTTGTGATTATAGTTTAGATCAGTAGTTTGCAGAAACTAACTAACAGAGTTAATCGTCCAAACGAGTGAGATGATTCTGTTGTATTATATCTGCATGTGGTCTGTGATTGTTAGCTAGCTAAGTTTTCTTTTTCTTTCTTTTTTTTTTTTTTTAAAAAGCAAGAAAGTAATGAAAAAGAGCAGAAGCCGCCGCTTTGTATTTTTTGTTTGTTCAGTTTGTCCTAATTTTCTTTATTAATGTCCTTAAATGTCAAATTGTGTTCTATGAATGTGTTTTAATTTATTTGTAGTTTGCCAAAATGAAGATTTTGAAGCATGTTGCAGGCATTGTCACTGATGATAAAAAGAGAAAGAAAAATAAATGAAAAAAATATAATATATGTACCTGAATTGAAAGGAGTCTGGTATATGTAGTGATCTCAGGCTTTCGTGGGGTGAAAGGTAAAACTACAAGACAATGTGTTTTCTGCACTGCATAAACATCATGCCAGGATGTGGTCAGAGCAAAACCAAACAGGAATGTGCAATAAAGGCTGTAGGCTGATTCCACCCTGGAACAATTTTGTGTTTGTCTTCCTTGCTCTCTAGGCTCTCTGCAGTCATTGAGGTTTGGAACATGCGGTTTTGTTCCGCCCTGTGGGTTCGAGGATATCAAATCACCCGTGACGGTGAATGATAACACCAGCTTCTCACCAGAACCCCATCAATGCAGTGTGCACTGGTCCACATTTCCCCTCATTAAGACCATATGCAAATTTCCAGAATTTATCTCACTTGATGTCACAGTAATTATGATACAGTAAAACAACTGTGTTCATTTATAAGTTTAAATTAAAAGCCCCTGACATAACAGCTCATTGCTTTGCAGAAAAAATAATGAGTTGCTATGGGTCCTGCACAGTGAAATGTGCAACTGTTACTATATCTTGGGTTTTAACACGGCTAAATCACTGTATCGACCAATCAGAAACCAGGACTGGAGCTATATGTTTTATAATGGTACTCATGGTATTATATTATACAGACACTATTGTATGTATTGTATAACTAACATAATAGTCACTGTTATCATTTATAAAATATCATTTAAATATATAACATTTGAGTATAGTGATAAAGTCACAATGCAAAATCTGGTCTGAATACTTTCCGTACCCACTGTATATATATATATACATATATATATATATATACACATATACATATACATATATATATATACATAATCAAATTTTGTAACAAAAATATCATAGACTTGGTAAAAGGAGGGCTCTTTGGACTTGAGTTAATTAAGTAATCACATAGCAACTGTAGAGCAATGTGCAACAGCCACTCAGATCATCTTATCAACACCTTAGGAACATGACTGCAAGTGTTGTACCCTTCCTTGTAAATTGAGTTAGAAAATGTCATTAGCTCCAGTCCCGGATAAGACAGAATACAGCAGTTGCATTGCAGATCCAGGAACAGTATGCACAGAATGAACGAAGGACAGAAGGTCTCGGCTGCTCTGCCCTGGAGCTCATAAGCACAGTCGGTGTGAGGGTCATGAGGCCCAAACACATTTCTCACCTAAAGAAAACACTTCTCACATGAACCAGCCTCAGTCACAGCCTGTCTGAGCTGAAAGCACCTCAAATTGATCCCAGAGCACAAAGCAGTTTTCTCAAACCTTTCTCGCCATGCAGAAAGAAAGAGAGTTTGGTCGCAAACTCTTATGCAAAAGAACGTTACATTGCATTGACAGTATTTCAGCAACAAAGACGTTTGTACTGTTTCTCAGTCGGCTAGTTTGAATGACAACAAGCAATGTCCGATTCAGAAATGAATGACTCTTTTGATAATTTTGAGAAAATTATTACGAAATTGACTCAAAAATGCACTTTAGAAGAGAAACAATGTGTGCATTATGATATATGTGCTGCTAATGAGGTAGAAGCTGACACGAATTAGCTATTTTATCTCCTCAGCAAACAACAAAGAAAATAAAGGGCAATTTAATGCTTTTATACCTTTTTTTGAAGGTATTTTTAATAAATGGACATCTGAAGACAGTAAATATAACAATTTCTAATATATCACACATTAAAGTTATAAAGTAGTTTAAATGTAGTCAGTTCTATGTGTAGCATGTAGGCCTAGTGTAACTTTTTTTATTTAGTTCCATCGCAGGTACAAGGCAAATATAAGGCAATGTTGTACAGTTTAAAGCATGTAAAACAGAATAACAACAACAATAACAACAAAAAAAAACATAAAATGAACATAAACATATAACAATTTAATAAAAAATACTAGGACAAAAAAAGTGTAATATAATATTAGGGTAGTTACATAAATTTGAAAAGCTTTAGAATTTTTATGGTTTTTATAAGCTTCTTATTTTGTGATCTAATGTAAAAAGGATTTCAAAATATATTTTAAGATACATGTAGTGCAACTGCCTACTTTATATGAAGGGTGTCATTCAACTTAAAGGGGACATTGAATGCAAAAAATCACTTTTAAATGGTGTTTGCATATAAATGTGTCTTAGCAGTATGTGGACACAACCACAATATAATGATAAAAATCCATTCACTACTTTTTTTAATCCCCCAAAAATCTAAACAGTTTCAATTATCAAGCCGTTTTGATTTTCTGAGCAGTATGATGTCATAATGCTCAGGCCCCGCCCACGGCCACTGATGGACTGTCCCATATTAGCATATTTCTGCCCTCAGCCAGTTGTACACTGTCCACTATTTTCTCCATGCTCGAGCAGCGACAACAATGTCTCATAAGCAATGCAGGTGTTTTGTATTTGGATGTAAAAGTGAACATAAGAGTCTTCATTTTCTCCCGACATCAAAGCCACTGAGGACGTAGTGGATTAGTTTTGTTTTTGATGGTAACACACCACCGGATACACCTATATTCGTTTATGTCTGCGCATATCATTTTACTCCAGACTGCTTTCTGAACGAGGAACAATTCAAGGCAGGTTTTGCTAAAAAGTCCAAACTCACGGATGGATCAGTAACCACTGTTCGTGATCCAGCTGCACCTCCAGAAGAAGTAAATCTCAGACTTTATATTTTTTATGATTATTTGCAAATCACCTTTCCTCTTCCACAGAAGAGAGGGGTGGGGTGAGCAGAGCTCATTATAATTTAAAGAGACATGCATCTAAATGTCTCACTGTCAACAAAGCTGTTTTTGACCAGGTAAAAAAGGTGTTGTTTTAAACAACCATTGAGGAATTTTAACCAAAGTATGTTGCAGACATTTCATGAAGACCCTATAGAATCATACCAACTTGTGGAAAATGGGCATCTGATGGCCCCTTTAAATAATTTTTCTAAAGAGTAGTTTGTAGCTCAGCTAAATATGTTTTCCCAGCATTGACAATTCTTTTAACCCCATGTCTCTGTGTTCAGGATAAACATAGATGAAAAGCCTTACTGCATACTGCTACCCATCAAAGACTAAAACGGTTTACTTTGAATAAGAACAGATAATCAATACAATAGAGAACATCTTAACAATATAAGAAAGAGAACATTTCATCTGCAGCATTAAAGGCCCCCTGGTCTACTCACAGACTGCAGTGCCTATACTAGACTAGATAGCGAAATTCACTTTAAAACGCAGTAAACAAACACTGCTGGACAGCAAACAGCAGATAGGTAGCAGACAATACAGCTCTGGCCTTATTTTCCAGCCCTCTGAAGGTTACTTCTTCAAAGAGCAGACAAAATAACAACAACAAACTCCAGCTGGCTGAGATAAAGGAGTGGGTGTATTTCCATTTGAATGCTGCTGGGTGGAGCTAATCTGGTTTGCAGTGTTGCTGCACATCTCAGAAGACGGCCGCAATTCTGATTTCCTTCTGACCTTTGGGCCATGACGACTGCGTCACGGTCGGCGAGGCATTATGAGCAACACGGCATGTTTCAATTCACACTACTCTTTAATACATATTCATATTAGGCCTTCGGAACACTCCAGAAGCCGAGCAGAAGATCTGTGCAACCCCCTCCGAGTAATCACTGCTCATAGCGAAGACATAAGTTAAATTATTAATGGAAAAGGCGTCCATACATTTAATCAAATTTAATCAAACCAACTCAAATCAAATAACTTTATATAGTAAAAACGATGCTGTTGGATGAAGCGGTCTTTTGCACTGCA